AATTTTTGGGCCCATAGTGAGGAATTTCCAGGATGATCCTGCCTCTGAACCAGCTTATACTCTGGTTTCAGATTTGCTGTATACTTGCGGCAGAGGTGAGGAACGCCTGTGTATTCCTCAGGACCGCAAGTTGAAAACACTTCTGATGTCAGAGTGTCATGATGCTCGTGGTCACTTTGGTGCCCTCAAATCATATGCAGCCTTGTCGCAACGCTTCTTCTAGAAGGAGATGAGAAGTGATATGTTGCACTATGTGGAAACCTGTGAGTTATGCCAGAGGAATGAGGTGGTTCGTCGACCTCCTCTTGGCTTACTCAAACCACTACCTATCCATGAAGCACCTGCACAGTTAGTATCTACCGATTTCACTGATCTGGGTAGGACCACACCTCGTGATATGCGTCAGGTTATGGTATGTGTGGATCGGTTCTCCAAAAATGCAGAGTTCATCCCCTTACCAGCTGAGGCCTGTGTTCCGTTCAGACGACTTTTGTTGACAGGTGGTTACACATCATGGACCACCCACCTCGATAGTCAATGACCGAGATCCCAGGTTTTGCATAAATGAATGGCAATCCTATTGCAGGGATTACCTTCATTCTCGTCTGGATATGACATCTGGTCGTCATCCTGAAGCCAATGGTCAGGCTGAAGTGATGAACCAAATTTTGTTTCAGCTGCTGCATCCTGTGATCAGTCCAGATCAGCAGTACTGGGATCTCCATCTGGGTCGTGCACAACTTGTGTATGACACGTTTGTACACTCCTCTACCGACTTTACACCCTACCGGTTGCTTTGGGGTAGTGAGCCACGACAACCTCTCAATGATATCATCGAATAAGGCTACCACTACGTTGATGCCTGGAACTACAGAGTTCACCAGACTTTACCGTGTGGTGCTCGCCCGTGCCAACCTGCTCAAAGCCCAAAAGGCTATGATCCAGCAGGCTAACCGGCACAAACGTCCTTCTACTATTCGCACACATGACTGGATGTGGGTACTCGGTTCTTAGTTGTCACGAGAGGAGGACATTTCGCTCAAGTTGCTGCCATGATACATGGGTCCATGGCAGGTCTTAGATACAGTGGGAGTTGATCATTTTGGACCATCTTATACAGTGGATGTCCCTCTGCATCTACAAACCTACCCTGTCTTCCATGCATCTAAGTTGTTGTCATTCACATCAGCTGATGCATTTCCAGACAGGCCTCCTCAGTTTGGTCCCCCAATCCCTGCCAAGGGATATGAGGTGGAATCAATTGAGGATAAGACAGGTACAAGTCCAGACAAAGAGTACCTTGTGAAGGCTTCCTACCAGCCGCATACTGAAGATCACTGGTTTACTCGCAAGGAACTTCTTAAAAGTCATAAGTCTGTTGTCCTCAAATATGACGCAGCGCAGAAGGGAAAACCCCTTCGATGCTCTGCACGCTCATGCCCCTAGCTCGGAGGTCCTCGCTCCGAGGGAGGGTAGGTCTGCAATGACTTGCTGGTTTCAGTGGCCTGTACCTCTCTTGTCGAGGTTGTACCATACGTAGGATAGATTCGTAATTTTGTTTGGTTGAGGGCTAACCGAGAGACCTGCCTGTAAGGAAAATTCGAGAGGGACATATCTGCGAATTCGGGAAAATATTGGCCCGTACTAACTGGAATTTCCTACAACTACCCTGACTGCGAATAGCAGGCCCGCGCTACCCCTAGGACAGACAAGCCCTACGGGCCTAAGCTGAAAGACGGTCCTATAGCCGGGTACGGAGAGGCCCTAGAGGCCGAAACTGAAACGTTACCGGTCAGTCCTACCAGTCCGGTCTAGGTCGTGTCTAGGCTAGGGTAGAGCAAGATAGAATGTAAAAATCAGTTCAGGGCTTTTGGCAGTTGGTATCGAGTACGTCGCTATTGTGCAATGCGTGAACTGTAAATGGTAACAACTTCAGCGTTGAGGGAGACAGCCATAGCTGGACCTTCAGAGTGTCGGCCATAGCTCAGACCGGTGTTGTACTCTGACAGCACGTGGGGCTGTTCAGAGGCCCAAGCTATTCGAAGTCTGCTGGAGGCGAGAGAAGTTGGTGCCCTACTGGACCCTCCTCAGGAGTAGGGTGTCAGGGTGTGTGGAGCTTCCATAGCTGCAACTATCTTCCTCAGAGATCATCTTTGTCAGGAGTGGGGGCGTTGCTTCAGACTTCCACCCGGGAAGTCATTTGGCACTTTATCATCATCAAACATGGTGGCGCTTTCCTTCTTCATCATCCTCTGAGTGGCGCTTGGCCTCAGAGGCCTGTTTCAGGGTGGCACTTCCCTCTGGAGGCAGTATCTGGGTGGCGCTTGATGTTTCAGGGACTCAGGGGTAGTTATAGCGGTTACTCAGGGTTGGGGAGTGAAGCGCTGCTCATTCCTGAGCAGCGCACTATAGTTCTGGGGTTATTCTGACATTTTGAGACTCTGAGTTTAATAAGGAGTGGTGATATTGTGTTGGGACTCTCTTTGCTTCATTGTTTCTCGGATGTGATCTACTCTGCTTTCCTTGTGACTGGTTGTGAGGATTCTGTGGAGCGAAGTGCACTTTCAGTGTTCTATGTCATATCGAATGGTCAAGTCTTCCATTGTGTTTATCTCTGCCTGTGCGTTGTGATACTCCCATCCTCTCCCCTTCCTTCTATGGGCATACCTGGAAGTCTATGTGTGCGAGTGTTGGTCTTCTGACAACAAACAACCTACATTCTCTCTCTCTCTCTCTCTCTCTCTCTCTCTCTCTCTCTCTCTCTCTCTCTCTCTCT